TCCTCCTCCTCACCACCACCATCATCACATAATCACACTCATCTCCTCCTCCTCACCATCAGCAGCAGTATTTCATTATAATACTTCATCTCCTAGAAGAGATGAAGACCTCCAGGAGAAATTTTTGGCTGAACATCAGGGTGCTTCCTAGAACACTTGGTCCAGCTGTAATCTTTTATGTAAAGAGTAGGGGAGTAGACAACCAAGGCTCTTATTGCTCTAAGCACTGAATGTCTCAAAAGTAATATTTAAAAAGTAAGAAGCAGGACAATAATTGTATTTTGTGCTTCTTAGTGAGAAATTGTACTATAGAAACCTAACGCAATGAATTCTTATTACATTACGGCTCTGTGGATCAAAAATGTGACAAAGGCTTGACTCTCTGATTCTTGCTCAACATCACAAATGGAGAAACAAACTATTGGCCAAAGCTGTAGTTACCTGAGGCTTCAGTGGGGCTCAAGGACCCACTTTTAAATATGGTCTCATAGTACTTGGTGGGGAGCTCCCATGATACCTGCTCGGTCCTATATGAACTTCCAAACTAGGGGTGCTTCAGGATGCATCATCAGCCTTATCTTCTCTTAGAATATGTGGTTGAGAACAATAGGCAAGGAGGAAGCCAGTGGGCCCTCTATGACCTGGTCCCCAAGGGACTATATTTCAACTGATGACTGTTTTGTGTGTTAGAAAGGAGCCCAAACAGGGAAACAGAGAAGAGTTTTCTCCTTTGTGGTCCTATACGACTCCTCTGTGTCTCTCTGTCTCCTTGTCTCTCTCTGCTTTTCTATCTCTCTGTCTCTGTTTCTTCCTGTCTCAATCTCTAATTCTTCCCTCCTCCTTCTATCTCTCTTTCTACCTCTCTCTCTCTCCTCCCAACCTCCATTTCCTTATCTCCTAACCACAAAACAGGAAATGTGAACTATAGAAGCAAATCTGAAAGATATGAATGGGACTATGAAGCCAAATTCTTGGTCTGGAATCCAAGAATTAAAATATAACTTTTATTCTGGACTCACTTATAGAGGTATTGAAAATGAGTACTTATTCCATTAAAAAAAATCAGTCACTAAGAAAGAAAAAGACCACGTACTTGTTTTCTTTCATGTCACCCAGAACTTCATCATACTTGGTACTGAAATGGTTATATATTAATAGGCAAGTCATTTATCCTTTCTGTATCTCCGTCTTATGATTCCTCAAAGTGATGGATTGGAGCAGAACCATCTGCTAAATTCTGACTGGTTCACTGCGTGATACTAAAACAATTTTCTCCCTGTTTTGCACATAGCCACTTACTAGCGTGTCATTGTTAGTGCTATGGAAAAGACATTTAAGGAGCGAGGATTTGTCTCTAATGTGAGTCACAAATAGGCCTTCCCTGTCAATTACTGCCTTTTACCAAATGGACTTTTCACTTACAAGGTTCAGCAGCTGTTTTCTCTCACCTCCCCAAACCACTACGCTCAGAAAGAGCATTGATTATGTGAAGCTGGTTCATAGATCAAGACTGGTACTGTAATTTTTTTGAATCATTTTACGTCTCAGGGACTAAGGTTTCTGGTTTATAAATGTGTTTATACAGAACCTATCTTTCTCTTCTTAACAGTGTTGCTTCTCTCTCTCTCTCTCTCTCTCTCTCTCTCTCTCTCTCTCTCTCTCTCTGGTTTTGAAATGACATAGTGTATCACTAGCAGCATCTTCAGAGTTAGGGGCTCTAGGTTCAAATCCACCCCTGTTAATGCTTTGCTATGAGACTTTGAAGAGGTGCTTGACTGTAATCAAGGCAATTCAAGTACGATGCTCTATGAAGTGGAGCAAAGTAGCCAAACGTGACTTCTGTGTAGGTCCAAACTCATCCTACTGACCCTAATCCAGGTGTTTGCATAGGAACTCTTAAAGGGCAAATGCTACAAAATCATTGCCTTCTTAAAATGTCACTGCAAATCTTATTGCCTCCTCTTCTCGAAGGTGTCAGGAATATAAGGTATGTAACACTATAGACTCTATTTCAGTAACATGCCATATACTTGCATGATTAGAGCTATCTGAATTTCTAACAAAACTGGTGGAGTATTTATTCTTCTTCATACAAGGGCTCTTAAAATGCTCCAGGTTTGGTACAAATGCTACGAAGTCTGTGAATTTTTCCCCAGGCAAGTAGGATGTTCCACCTTACAAATGTATAATTCATAATCCTTCTGATACTGAAACATAAACTTCCCAATGTCTACTTTGCCCGCTGTTCCCGAGTTCCACTGAGAAGATAATATATTGGACCTCTAATTTGAGCACTTAGCATGATGGCTAGCATATACGACCTTTCCACTAATGGTCCTATGAATTAAATACCATGGCAATCATCATTGAGGGCAAAATAAAAGAGCCTTGCCTATGTCTTTCTTCCACTTCCCTTTCATTACAGATGCAGTGTTTTATCAAAGGCACTGCTTCAGGCTTTTGTTCATCACTGTGTGAAATGAATTCCAATATTGGAATCCTGGGTCTCCCAATACCATAGCCAGCACCAGTAAATTTGGTCCTTGGTGTTACTGGAGGACAGATGATCCATGGACAGACAAGAATGGAAAGACGTCCAGCTGTACCAGGCCTGGCCTGGGTGCCTCCTCACATTAGGATGTCCGTCCTGCTCTTTTTCATCCGCAGTAACAGCCGAAGCAGGGCCCAGCATCAGGCTCATCGGCAGATGTTCTGCTTGGGATCTCGCTATTAAATAGCTCAGAATGACAGGACATGGAGCTGGGATAAGTACTTTCTACCTACAGTGTACCACAGAGCTTCTCAGGCTAATGATTTGAAGCCACAATAATTAAACCTGTCAGCTTTTTCAAAGTCCATATCACACTGGCAAAGTGAAATAGAGAACTGTGGTGGTGTAGGTAAGGGGAAAATGAAGAGGTAAATTCTTCACACCTTGTATCGTATCGTCCTCTATGGCACTGTCTTGCAGCCTCTCTCCACACTCAGACCAGTGCTGAGTCCAGAGCTTTCTTATTCCCTCAATGACTGTCTAGCTCTTCCTCAATTTTGCCACTAATCCACCACAAAAAAGAGGAAGCTAAGATGGGGAAGCGCTAGTTTTTCTCTCAACCCAGGTGGCTGGGTTTGAGTCTAGTTCTGGCCTGTGCAGGTTGCTAAAAAGCCTCAGGAAAGTGACTTTTATTTTGTCAATTCATACAACGTTGGGCACTAAATGTAGCAGGATGACTAAAAACCTAGAGACAGACATTGGGGTTAATTCTGAAGGTCAGAAAAGCAAAACAGCCAACCACTGGCTCTTCCCTCCACCTCAGGCTGAAATGGCGATCCTGCCTCCAGGAATCTCATAATGAGACTGTGTCCAAGAGCTTTCTCCTCCTGTCTTATATTCCTCTCTAGGCCTGAATTAAAGGCATGCACCACTATTGCTCGGTTGCTATGGCAACTAGTGTGGCTGCTAGGATTGAAAGTGTGTGTCACTACTGTCTGGTCTGTAAGGCTGACCAGTGGAACTGTTTTACTACTCTGATCTTCAGGCAAACTTTATTTATTAAAAGACAAATGAAATATCACTACAACAAAACGAATCAAGAGTCCTGGTGTATCACTTCCGTACTAATAGTTGATTCATTTTGATTTGTTTTACTTTGCATATAGGGGTTTGCATTCTCTAGTATCAGCCTACTGCTAAAAACACATTTTCTTCTGTGTTCATATATACATTCAGCATTTAATTCATCTAAGAGATTGAGGATAAATTAACTGCTTTTGCATCAGTGTGAGTATGTTTATACTATCATGGTCTGGGAAAACCCTTTATTCATCTCATAGAACCATTTTCTTTGATTTTTTTCCTCCTTTGTTTGTTTGTTTTTTGAGGCAGGGTTTCTCTATGTAACATCGCTACTAGTCCTGGAACTCCATATGTAAGTCAGGTTGGTCTCAAACTCACAGAGATCCACCTGCTTCTGCTTCCCAAGTGCTGGAAATAAGATTTCTGGCCACCACACCAAACATATGTCCATTTTTCAGGGACGTTTAAATGCCATTTCTCCAACATTAAATGCCATTTCTCCAACATTACCAGCAAAAAGAGAATTTCTTTTCTTTAATCTTACATAGCATTCTTCCAGATTAATATTAACCCATTCATTCAACAACATAATTGTATGTCTACTCTGTGCTCAGGTCTCTTACAAAATTCAGAAACATGAATGAACAGAACAAGTTACATCTTCTACTGAAATGCACATTTTAGTGACAAGAGTTAAAATAATCAAAAGAAGAGGGAATAATAGAGAGGGCTGGAGAAATGATTCATTGGGCAAGCTGTTTGCCACACTGGCATGAAGAACTGAGTTCAAATCCCCAGCACCCATGGAAGGCTGGATGTGACAGCATAT